GTTTTGGTTTTTTTTCTTAGAATCTATAGCACTATTTCCTTTTGAAATTAAATTAAATTTAATTTCCTTTTTGAAAGTAATAAATATAACCAATATAATCTAAGTAGCAACTCGGATATGAAGCTTATTGTTGCTGGAGACTGGATCACATTTACAAAAGCTGTGATGGTCTTAAGTCACTTTTGAGGTAGGTCCCAGGCTGAGTGAGCGTGAGTGCAAGTGCAAACCCTGCACTTGCAAGGAAAAGAAACAACTACATGGTCAGTGGTGTTGCTCTCCTGAGGAAGCAGCTCTGCCACACTCAGTGATTCCCAGTTCCCACCACTTTACCATTGTGCCAGTGCCAACAGTCTCAACTCCAACTCCAGTAAGTTAAGAGCTGGTATTCTCTATGCCAAGACCATTGTCAGTGCCACAACAGACCAGCAGGTGAGGCTCAAGCCAACAGGCACTGAAATCATGGAGCAGGGAGTGTGTGCCATCCTGAGATCCCCCTGGCACAGTCACTTGGCCACCAGCCCTCCGTGGTTAGACTTTACCAACACAAACTGAAGGCAGGAGTCAGGCAGAGAGGGGCGTGCTCTTCAGCCAATGAAAAAGTGAACTTCAAATGGATGCAAGGACTGATAAAAGATACTGTAGGATCAGGGTAAGCATCGCCAGCTCTTCCTCTGAGAGATGGCTCCTCTGGGGTAAAAACCCTTCAAAGGCCTCAGTGCTATTCAAGTATCTAAACTGGAGTTGGTGCCCTACAAAGACCCACCTGGTGTCCAGCTGCTGCTCCAGGAGGAGGTCTCATCCTGCCCCTGGGTCTCCTAGAGGTCCTTTGTGCTATTTGTCAGGCCTGTGGAGACATCTTGGACATCCTTGAATATCCCAGATCTTCTAAAATATCTTTAGATAACTGTTTAAACCCCTAAATATTTTTATATTGTCAATTTAATTTCATATGGAAATCAGATTTTTGGTGTTTACATCGGCCTTTGCTACCTTTATTGAGTACAAAGTACAAAAAGTACAAAAGTACAGCAGAAAGTTACATTTGCAATAAACTATAGCAATACCAGAAATAAAAATTATAGCGCAAAATCTTGTTCTTACCAGATAACTGACAAAGAGCAACAATCTTACAGCTTGGTAATTTAGGGAAGACATGTTCTTTAATATCTAAGTTTCTGATTTTTAATATTCACAAATCAATAGAACTGAGATGTCAAGCACTTTAAGCAAATGGTCTATTTTTATCTATTTACATCATTACTCAGTGACAGATTTTATTTTCAGAACTGTGGGCTGCAAAATGTTTCTTAATTATATTTATTTGTGACTGCAAGCTAGAGAATGTAATAAAAATGCAGCTTGCTGAAAGTGTTATGTTCACGTGGGTAATAAAAAAGATTAAGTATTTTAACTAAATGTGCTTTATAAAACATGTCAGGAGAAAAAGGCCTAAAGAATGCAATTGTAAAGTTTTTCTGAGTTTTTAACTTTTAATGCTTCCTGTATGTAAGATGAAGAAATGCAATAAACAGAACTATCCAGATAGTACTTTGATCTGGAAAACATCAACTTGGCAGGAGCAAGAAAACAAAGGAACACCAAAGATTAACCTGTCCTCACTACTCCAGCATAAGCAACTCATCCAGACTCTCCATCCTAAGGAGAGAAATGATCAAATATCAAATGCCACAAATCCCTCTAAAACTCCTCAGATGTTTTTCCTTCCTGCTGAAAGGATAAAACACAGGGAAAACAGTACTAAAACTGAAATACTGTAGCTCCCCAACCATCTTCTGGTTAGATGGGGTTTGTATTGAAGTATATTGCTTGTAAATGCAACTCAGTCTTTTCCCTGCTGAAATATGTTCATGGAGAAATTGATTTCTCTGCATTTTTAGCTTATCACCCTTCCATCAAGCAATGGAGCATGAAAGGTTCCTACACTCTCAAGGGCTTCTTGTCTTCCCAGGCGCTGTTTGGTTTGGTTGGCAGGAGGAATCTGGCCCCAGAACAGTGAAAGGAAGTCAAAGCTTCTTGAACTGCACACTGGAATGTTTTCTGCCAGAGGCGATGATGGTTTCACTTTCAGATAGCAGAGGACTGGAAGGCTGGAGAAAAGTCAGTTCAAGAAAGCTGTGCTGACATCTCTTTCAAGCTACAGAGGGCAATAAAACACACAGATATCATGCTGAAACTGCCTTGCAGGAGCAAGGCTCCTGCTAATCTGTGGGGGAAAATATTTAGACATGGAAATCATTAGGAGCAATGGGGACAATTTTGTTGATCTTGAAGAGTTTTTCTAGGGCCTCAATTCTGCAGCTGACTCATGTGCAAAGTACTTACTGGATATGGGCAACTTTATCTGATAGGGATTTTCTATAGGAAAGACTAAGAGGTGTTTTTTTTGTCTGATTCTAAAATCAATAAAAGTACCAAGTTGCTCCTTTCCCCACTAAATATTTAAGAATGAATGAGCTCTCCACCTGAAGTGGAACACACTCTGGAGAAGTTTAGCAGAGACTGATGGTTAGAAGTGCTGAGTTTTCTTTAATCCACAAAGTCAGAGGAGATGGAAAGCTCGAGGCAACTCTGAGGGCTAGGACTGTAATCAGTTCCATGCTTTGCAGGGTAGAGTTCAGATTCAATCTCCTCAGTCTTTACTCTTTTTTTTCTTTTTTTTTTTTAATAGGACAAGTTAGTCCTTGGAAATTTAGTCTGAGTCATTGGAAACTGACTCAGCCACTGTAGATACACCTTGTACTGGTGGGTCTTGCAGTGTAGGTCTTCAGTTCCAGACTTCTTTTCTATATATGAATTTTCCAACTAGGGCATCACTTAGAAGACAATAATAAATGCTGCTACTACTCAGTGGCTGTTCAAGGGACTCAATGGCTGCAGTGGCAGAATGGTGACAAAGTTTGATGCTGCACTAGGAGAGGAAACCCAGGTCTTGCCTGGGATGCATATCAATGGCCATTTAAAACCAGACCAACCATTTCTGAACACCTGTTTGCATGAGCAAGAATCAGCTTGAGCTATGAGCTGCCTCACATCTTGGACATCATCCACTATGCTATCTCAGTGTGCTAATTAACCTTTGCTGCACCTCCAGCTCTGATTTTAGATGGCTGTAGTCCAGATTTTAGACCACAAACTTAAGTAAAACTTGAATTATTTAAGAATTTTAATATTTGCACTCCAGGTATTTATCAGGTAATGAGATTGCATAACATATCTGTTTCCTGAGAACTAAGTTCTTGTTGAAAACAATCCAAATTTTGAAATGAAAATTTGATTTCCATACAAAGCTCTAGTGGCTGAGCATATCCTTGGCAGAAAGCTCTGCTTTAGAATATTTGAAAAGCACCTTTTTTTTTGACCATGTTCACACATAGTTTTTATTAAATGAAATTTAAAGTGCTTTTCCAGTATTAGCCTTGCTCTATTTCTGCCATCTTTAACAAATAGTCAGCTGAAGGATTCCTGAAAGACGGAAAACCCATTAGGCTTGAATCTTCAGTTAAGAAAATAAAATTCAAAGAAATTGTGATTTGATTATATTTTAGATGGGTTCTTCAAATAGACAAATGAAACACTTATTAATATTGCAGATTTTCTTGTCCATATTTCTAGTCAGACCAGCACATATATTTTATATTACTCATTACTCTGCTGGGACTCCTCCTTGTAATTAACTTCCGAAATAATTTTTAAATACTGTCTTATTTACTTCAAGCTGTTGTGAGAAGACGTCCTGCCCTTCAGCAGCAGTATTTTATACACATGGGTATTTTTAAAAAAATGTGCAATCTGTTGCTTTTTAATATCCAGCTCAACAAGACAGTGAGTCAGTGCCCATTCACTTCATTAGGAGTGGAAAATGCACAGCATGAATGAAGAGACATTCAGCTTCCTGGTTCAAGCTGTAAATAATCTACATAATTACAAACAAGCTACACTTTTGGGTTTTTATTTTGGCAGGTTATGTAAAATGTATGGGTACTTTACTCCTGCAAACACCCAAATACCAAAGATAGCAGCTTCACTGAAGAAGCACAGCTTTCCTCACATTGATCTCTCCACTGATTGACTGAAAAAGAAAAACAACCCAGGGTTTTTTGACCCCCATGGGATCTCACTGAAAATTTTGGGCTGAAATTTCTGGTTTTGATGACTAACCTGGTGTGGATCTGTGGCTGGGTTTGGAGGATCTGAGTTCACTTCCCTGTTTTGTTCTTTCCCTCACCTTTTGAAGCTGTTCCACCTTGCACAGGATATTTAAGCATTCAGCCAGGGAGGAGGAGTGAATCACACAACATATCAAGGCAGTTTTGGTCAGGCACAGTGCTGGGATGTGGTCTGAGCACAGGAGCAGTGCTACAATGAATTGGGTGCCAGGTGGATTGGCTGCCTGGCGTGTCCTACAGCACAGCCACATTCCCAGTCAGATGTGCGTGTGGACAAACCAACCTTCCTCCCCTGAGAAACCTCTCCTCCCTCCAGGGTAAAGGTCCCCTTGCTGTGCTGGTGGGAAACAGCCCTGACACCTCCTCTTGGCAGGCTCTGTGACCACTGCTTTTGTTTAAAGTGCCCCAAATGGAAATGAAATCTTGCTCTTGGCCAGGAGGTTTTGCTCAACCCACCACGTTAATTTTTCAGATTTGTTCTGTTTCCAAATGCTGGTGCTGATACTTACCCACATTTGGCAGAGGACATAGAGCCCTCTTGTACAACAATGCAAAAAACATCCTTCAGACCATTCACTGAGACAAATTAGTCTCTGTGAATCACATATCCAAACTGTAATACTTTGCAGACAAGACTTTAAAGATTTCATATACAACCATTTTGACAAACCTTTTCTTACTGGATTTTGCTACAAACATGTATATTTGGAAGAACTTAAATATGAATTAGTAAACTCAGATAAGAAAACTACCAAAAATACTCCAAACAAACAAAATATACAATGTAAAGAAAATTTCACAATTTTTACTTACTTTCTTTGTTTTGTCCATTGCCTTCAGTATGGTTATGTTTAAGTCTTCCAAGACAGAGAGAACATTTTCATATTCTCCTAAATGCTTTGAAAAATAATCTGAAAGAAGAAAAAAATCCCCCATCAAATGGCCTACAAATGGCTTGAAAACCAATATTTTGTTAAATATCAGCTTTATCAAGTCTGAATTCAGTTATGGCATTATTGAATATCTAAATACAAAATGAAAGGAATTACAATGAAAAGAATAATTTTGTTTTAAAATTTTGTACTTTTCCTCTGCAAAATCATTCCTGGTGTACTTAAAATATCTAAATCAGTATCTCAAAACATTTTCTTTCCATAAATGAGTTGCTAAATTCACAAAAAATGTAAATATCAATTTGACAGCTGAAGCAAACTTATTTCCAAAATATCTATATCTTCTCTGTAAACTGTAATTTTGTAGTAAACTGAAATTGTAGTCTAATTTTAGTCTAGTTTAGTCTTCAGTTACTAGCAGAAAATGAAGTTTTCATATGTATGTGGTGAATTTGAATATATTGATACAAAAATGAATAATTCTGGTAAAGCCCTTAGAGGAGATAATATCAAGTGGGGCTGCTGTGAGCCAGGTTTGGTTGAGAGAGGTTGTTTCTCTGTGACATGAAGAGACCAGGTGCTGAGGTATTTTCAACAAATATGATGCATGCAAAATTGATTTTAATGAAAATCATGGAAATAGCAAATTTCAGGGTGTCTCAAAGGAAATAATTTCTTAACAGAAAGAGCTGATGTAAAATCAGAGGGATTACAGCAAGAGGAGGAAGCAAAGCTGGGAAATCATGACCCGAGATCCCATTTTGTTAATGTGGTGAAAGGAAACAGTGTGAAAAAAAATAAATAAATAGAATTCTGTTAAAGCTTAGAGATGGTGTTAGACAAGGCATTTAGACACCACCTGGAAGAGCACAAAAATCAGCATCTAAATGGCAGACAGGAAGAACAAGATTAGATAGAAGCTTTTTGAAATAATAAATAGCAACTCTTCGGAGCTTTTAAGAGGTCAGCATGAGCTTCTCAGCTGAATCATGAAAATAGAAGTTGCCAGGAAGACTGTGATATGACCTGGTATTGCTGAGAGGATGAATGAAATTATTTAGAATGAAAACATATTATGAATTAATACCCTGGATGTTTTTTAGCTTCATTTCTGATATGAACTGATATAACTCAGAAAGACCTGTATATCACAAGCTTAAATATGGATTCAGTAAATTCAGTACCAGATTCATAGCAGCAACATTTGAAAGATTTAAAAGGCATTTGAAGCAGCCTGTATTTAATTAAAACAGACAATAAACAGAGCCAGTGCTGGACTGACACCCCCCAGCCAGCAAGCCTATACACCTCCAGTGCAACATCAACTGCAGTAAATCCCTTGGGGGATTTACAAAACCACCTCTCTTCCTTAGCCAGGTTTACACAGTTTTGGCCAGCAGAAGTTGTCACAGCCCAGCTCACTTCAGATGAGCCTCTTGTCATCTATTTATAAGCCACAGGGTGAGGTGTTTTTTGGTGGATTCTTGGCCATGTCACCCTGTGGGTGAGTAAACAAACTGGTATTCAACTTGACAGTATGTTCAGCTTTTAAAGGTCTTCAACATTGTTGACCATTGGAAAACTTATCAGGCTGCCATGTTTCACTCAGAAATTGGCTGGTGTTGACAAGTGTGATTTTTTTTCTGACATTTTGTGGGGAAACCTGCAAAAATATTTGTAAATTGTTTTCTGCTGCAAGAAGCACTCCTAAATCAGGTGCTGTAAGATAAGCTGGAGAGCAAACAGGGTGCTGGGGAAATGACTCACAGCTCAGAATGAGGTACAGAAATGGGTAATTGGGCCAAAATCTAGGCCTTGCAGGAGTTTTATTGTGACAAAGGATCATCGAACTTGTCAAACTTACTGTTCTCCCTGGCTCAAGTAGGAGGAAAGTAATGAATTTTCTTTTAGTGAGGTATATGAGAAGTGTTAAATTGAGAAACTAACTAGAAAAACTATCTCACACTAAAGAGAAATAAAATGCAAGTCATCTATCATCTATCTATCTATCTATCTATCTATCTATCTATCTATCTATGTCAGAACAGATCTTGAATCTCAGAGAGTGTGAAATACTGATTAGGAAAAATATTTTCAAAGTAAATTCTGCACATAGGGGATAACAGAGTCTGAAAAGATTATAAGCCATCTGCATTTTCTCAGGAGTTCTCTGAGTGGAAATTATTTTCTGTTAGAGCTACAAAGATTAAACAGAAAAAAAAAACAAACACATTGCATGTTTATTTGCACAGGGCTGCTGCAGGCATAGATTATGTTCTTACCCAAAAAAGAATTTACCACAGAGCTCTTCTGTGTCAAGATTGCTAGAAAGATAAGAGTATAAATGGTTAGTGAGGTTAGTAATGTTTTTGTTGTTGTTATATTGGCAAATAGTGCAACTCAAGTATTAGCCTGAGTGGGATATGAAGCCCTCCCTGCTTGGTCTGCAGCAGGAGGCGCAAGTGCCTGGCTCTTGCTGGCCTTGCTGTGCTGCCTTAGGGCAGAAGGCTGCAGCCTTTCTGAAGCTGGTTGCAGGTGCAGCCTCCCTTCCTGACCACGTTCCCACTGGCACTTTCCTGCTCACTGCAAACTCACTCTGAAGCTCAGCCTTTGTGCATCATGATGCAGTTGCTGCTCCCCAGGCCCTACACATTTGGCTTCAGTTCTGGCAGGAATCCATCTAAACGTCAGAAATGGCTGGCTTGGGTTTTTTTCTCCACCTTTCTGCCAATACTCCTCTTCTGTGGCTGTCATGCTGACAGCAAGGCTCAAAGAGCCTTCCATGCTAAAGAAGAAAACACCCAGTAACTTTCTCCTGTTTGCAATCCTTGCTGTGCAAGAGTGTTCTGTGTGTACAGAGTGTACAGGAGGAGGATAACACCAGGTATAGCCCATGAGCACACAATTCCTAAGACTTTCTGGCCATTTCACCACCACTAACTCTGGCAAAATTAGTGAGGGGAAAAGTATAGATGTACTGCCATATTCCCATGCCAACATTATATAAATGCATCAATACAGGGAAGTATTTTATTCAGTTCAAACCTGTTTGCTTGAAGCAGACTTCATCTTGATCAACTTTGAAGTGATTTTTCTCTAATAAGCAAGGCCTTAATAGTTAAAAGAAAAAAAAAATTGACCTACTGCTCATTACTGAAAGTTAACATATTGCCTTTCTTCCAAGGAGGAAAAGAAACAGAGTATTAAAGAAACTTAAAAGCATGAATGTCCTCTTTGAATCTTGCTGAGGGGTGAATATTGAATGGCTGACTGCACTTAGCATTTTTTCACTTATCTTTTTAATGGAATTTTTTAATTGACCTTTTAATAAAATGATGGCACAGTACTACCTTAAAATCACTTTCTCCACTGCTAACTTCCGTACATCTGGCTTTTATTTCACAAAGGAGATAAACTGATAGAAATTGCAGGATCCTGGATTATCACAAACTTGCATACTGAGAGCTATAAAAACTTCTGAACACTTTTAATTGATAATGCAAATGAGATTTTCACACAACATTTATTAATTTAAGGTGATTCCTATCTGCATTCAAACTTGCCAAGTTAGATGGCTGCAAGTGAGACTTGCACCTGATTTCTCCAATGACCTTGGTGGCAGGTTTAAAGGAATTCACAGTCTTTAAGAACAGGTGCTGAAGCTGTGAAACTCAGCTCTTAGGTAAACAAACTATGTGATGGGGAAAAGTGTCTGCAACTCCTTAAGGCTGTTTACCAGTATCTATGATCAAATGTGTCTGACCAACACTTCTGCAGTTCAGCAGTCCATTTTGGAACAGGCCAGATAACAGATCACCTCTTAAATGCAAATTGAAACCCTGAAAGCTGGAAAATTGCCTGAGTCAAAGAGCCTTGCCAGGATATGACGTGGTTAAATGACAGGAGTTTGCTTTATAATGCCTACTCTTTTTTCATCATCCCTGAATTTTCTGCTCTTTACCATCATCTGCCCTAATGACTTAATGTAAAAGACACTTCTGCATTTCTTAGTGCACAGCTTGATATCTGTGTTTGAAACAGCCTTTCACATTGTTAACCAGTGTTAACCATTCTTACTCCCTTTTCAAATTTTATATTTAAATCCATTCTGGTCTTTGTAGTTTTGTACCATGTTAGTGACATAGGGAGTGGCTCAGAGGCTTTCAGCATCCCTGCTTTCAACAGGCTGTTTGTACTATTGACAGGAGGGTCACAGCTGCAAATGGACCATCAGTGAAAATGGAAGAGTATTCAGGTTCTGAATCCATTTTCACTTAGAATTGGGCACCTGAATAACCAGAAAATATTATCAAAAACATTTTTTGCAGCCTGCGAAAAAACACAGAATATATATAAAGAGCATGGATTTCTGTCTAGCACACTCAGTATTTCCTTCTGTTATAAATACCCTTGGAGGCTTCAACATTCTTGGCATCCTGTTTGAAGGGGATGCTGTTCTAGGCAGGGAAGCTATAATTTTGTGTCAGTGATTACTTCGTTCTCTCTGAAATAATGACATGCCACTTCAAAAACAGTTGTGAACAAACCTAGGAATTCTTTTGCTGCATACAAACAGTTTTGAGGTCTGTGCAAGATGCTACAGAAATAATTAAAGAAGTCTGGCAAGTTTGATAGTACAGGAGTGAGGTGCACACCAGAGAACTGTTTCTGTAACTCAGTATTCAGGTTTGCAGCAGGCACCTGCTCCTCATTTCAGTGGGTACATATGCCAAGGATGCTCCTGCTTAGACCCATAATCTGGCAATGCTGAACATGTTATTAACAATATTTGCTGGATGACTCACATCCAGCCACCAGCCTCCACTGATGATAAGCAACCAAAGCATAGGGTGAGGCAAATGCACTCACATCATGTCAGAATGTAAACTCTCAATTTGCTTTCTGACTACTACATGCAGTCCTTCTACCTGTCCATATCTAAAATGTTCTATGCCTAAAAAACAGGAGCTATTTTTAAAGGACTATTACACTGAGCAGTCTTGATCACTAAAAAGTTGATCATATTTATTGGTCAGTGACAGAAAAATAATCAAATTTACTTGAATGAACAGTGACAAAAATGCTTATTTGTGGTACCTCTGGAAGAAGTCCAAAAGTGGTCCAAAACATCTGTGCTCTTGTTCTGGCCACTACAGTTAGCTGTGGACTAGGGGCAGCCAGGGAGGAGAGGTTAAAGCTATTCCACTCATCCACTGCTGTGGGTCCATGGATCCATCCACTGACCTGACACACACTGTTCTATGGTACAAAAGGCACCTCTAGGAAGAGGAACCAGCAGAAGATCTACATATTTTCCCTGGACCACAAGAAAAGGCAATATCTTACAGAGCATGGAGTCTGAAATATAAAGCAGTTACTTTATTGAAGAATCCAATACTATATGAAAGACTTTATGAACTACCTTAATTTAGGCAAATCATTGCCATGAATTACAACTAGAGAAGGATAACACTTTTTCAGAACTCTCTTCATTCTCAGATATGAGAAGGATTTATTTCAAAAGCTTGAACTAACTATCTTTTCAGTCCCATTTGCATGACATTTTTAGGGATGAAAATTTGAAGCCAGTATCACTTATTGTTAAGTAGAACCGTATAATTTTTGAGAGAAAGTAATTAAGTGTTCCTTAAACTATGCAAGGGTAACTGAGAAGGCATCCATGGACAATCTCAGCCAAAAAGGTCTCTGCAACAAGAAGCTGTGTACCATCTCACTTTAAGTCAGCAAAGTGAGGTAACTGCTCCAACACTACTGAGGGTGTTTTGCAAAGGAGTTCGTTCGTCCTATGTGTGCATTTCCATTTTTCTGCCTCACAGCTGCTTTGCAACAGCAAACAACACCTTTCAGGTTTGTCCAAGGTTTCTTACCAGTGGAGGCAAAACTGCTTCCAGTGGGATGCACTGCTGCAAGAAGGTCAGGCCTCTGCCTCTGGTCACAGAAAAGAGAGAGGAGGAAGAGGGGGCAGAAGTGGGACAAGGCTTCTGTCCTGGGAGAGACAAACTTCCTGCAGCCCTGAGGACACTGCTGCTCTTCAACCTCAGCTCCAATCTGGACTGTGCACCCTCTGGGCTCCCAAAAGCAGCAGCCAGCTTGGCTCTCTGGGCTCTGACACTGGCAGTGAGGTCACAGCTATTTTGCTATCTCACATTTTGCTTCAGTAAATAATTACCTAGTTTGCTTAGCTCCTGGCTAAGTGATAACTTCAGAATCATCACTTACTGCTCTGCCTGTGGCAAGACTGAAGGAAAGAATAAAGGTTTTTTTTTTTCCTGTCTAAGAACTCATCTGAAAAAAACACCCTCTAGTTGTTTGCATTCAGCAGTGATTCACAGAGATGACAACATAGCTGACAAGTCACCTTAATCATCCCAGCTATAACAGCTTTCATGTTGGTAAAAGAGGTTTAATAATACTATTAAAACTTGTGGTGTATAAAATTTGTAGAGCACTTTACAAGGGCTGCAGACCTATGATTTTTTTGCAGTCTATATGACACAAACATAAATGAGGAAACAAGATGCAGCATCACGGTGGTTCTTTTACCACAGAGAGCAAATTTCAGAGTTTTCACCCATTGGAAAGGATAATGTTTCAATTTCTGGTTTTGTCACAAAATGATTTTTTAAAAAACCAAAAACCTTCTATTCTTAGACAAAAAAAAAAGTTTACTTTGGTTACTTACACTCCTTGGAAATGCACAGGAGCAGGCAATTCCAAAATGCCAGAAATCAAGTGAACAAGGCAGAAGGTCAGCTTTGCTGAACAGGTATCTTCTTTTGGAAAAGGAAGGTGTATGCCTAGTGTAAGCAAGGTTAGGTGACCTGGAAGAGATGCAGCTTGCCAGTGTAGGGAGAAAATTCATATAGCCAAAGATCAACTGGAGTTGAAGCTGCCCAGAAATGTGTGAGAAAATAAAAGGATATTTTAAATATATTAATGTAAAAAGACAACATAGAAATAACATCAGCCTGTTACAGGATGAGGATGGGCACCTCACAAACAGGGACATGGACAAGGCAGAGGTGTTTAATGCATTCTTTGCCTCTGTCTTCAGCAGAGATGATGGACCAAGGGGGTCTCAGTGCCCTGAGCTGGAGGACCATGGCTGTGAGAATGTTTGACTCCCAGTAGACCTTGAAATTGTGTGGGATCTGCTGCTTCAGCTGCATCCCTACAAATCTATGGGGCCTGGTGGGACTCATCTAAGAATCCTCAGATCTATCTGATGTCATTGTAACACCTCTGTAGGTGATTTTTTTGTGGTATTAAAACTCTTGTGGTTCTCTGGGAAAGCCAGATTATA